CTATGTAAGCAATGAACAACTGAAAACTGGAAAAAAAAACCTCCATAATTTACAATCATTTAAAAAAACATGAAATAATTAGGGGTAAATCTAACCATATCTGCAAAATTTTCATCCCGAAAACTACAAAACATTAAAGTAAGGAATTACAGAAGACCTAAATGAATGAAGGGACATACAGTGTCTATAGAATAGAAGACTGGTTATAGACCAGATGTCAGTTCTATAAAAATTGATCTATATATCCAGTAAATGCCAACAAGTGTTCCAGCACAATTTTGTCTAAATTAATAAACTGATTATAAATTTTTACTGAAATGCAAAGGTATACAATAGTCAAACCTTTGAAAAAGTGAAAGAATATTGAAAGACTTATACTGTCTATTTTTAAAACTGACTATAAATCTGTAATATCAGGACAGTGCACTTCTGATATAAGGATAGACATATAGATTAAATGGGATAGAACAGAACACAGAAATAGACCCACAAAAATAAAGCCCATTGAAATTTGACAGTGATACTGCTATTTTTTTAATGTTTGTGTTCCCTCCAAATTCGTATGTTGAAATCCTAACCCCCCACCCAAGTGATGGTATTAGGACATAGGACCTTTGAAGGGCAGTTAGGTCATGAGCTCTTACAGGATTGATGCCATACAACAGTCCCCAGAGAACATACTTGTCCCTTCCATCATATCAGGATACAGCAAGTCATAGACAGTCTGCAGTCTAGAGGGAGGATCATACCAGAGCTTGACCATTCTGGCAAATACATCTTGGATTTTTATTTCTCAGACTGTGAGAAGTAAATGTCTGTTATTTATAAGCCACCCCGTCTATGGTATTTTGTCATAGCAACCCAAGCAGATTGGGACAGAAAATGGATACCAAGAAATGGAGATTCTACTGTGCCAAACACCTGAACATGTGGGACTGGCTTTGGAACTGGTCCCAGGCTGGAGGAGTTTTGAAAAAGCCCACACTGCCATGAACAGGACCCTTAAAGGTGATGCAGATGGAAGCTCAGGGGGAAAAAAAGCAGAAGTGCAGGGAAAGCCTCAGTCTTCTTAGAGAATAACAAGTAATTCTGAACAGAATGTTAGTAAAAACAGACAGCAAAGGCCATCCTTTGAGGCCTCAGCCAGAGATGAGAAACATGGAGAAGGAAGGAAAGGCCGTCCTTGCTACAAAAAGTGGCAAAGAATGTGGTGGAACTGTGTTCATGTCCCGGTGTTCTGAGGAGGGCAACACTTATGAGCCATGAAATTGGATATCTGGCTGAGGGAATATCTAAGCAAAGAGTAGAAGGGGTGGCCTGGTTTCTCTTCACGGCTTACATGAAATGCAAAAAGAGAGAAAAGACTTAAAGACAGAATTATTAATCGGAGAGGAAACACAACCTAAACATTTAGAAACTCTCAGCCTACCCTCTTGAAGTGAGTGAGAAAGCCTGTTTGGGAGAGAACACAAAGGTTATGGCCAAATCAGAGGAGATTACTGAGAATGGGCCCCCTCAACAAAAGCTAGGAGCTATTTGTCAAGAAAATGGGTGATTAGTCAACATCTCTGCAGAAAGCAGGGCCCATTTTTCAGTGGAAAAATGACTCCTGAAGACAGTTCAGAGATCACAGTGGCTGTGCCTCCCATCACCAGCCCAGAGTGCACAAGCCTAGGGTTTGAATGGTTTCAAAAGAGGAGCCATCTGCTGCCTGGTGCCACTTCACTTTGCAGGCTCTGCTCCCTGCCCTTGTGCAGCCCCAGCTCCAGTTCCAGCTCCAGCAGTCATCAGTGTGCTGTGTGCTATGCCCAGCAAAGCTGTGGGGGCGTGGCTGCCTCCACCTAGATTTCAGAGATGCCCTGGAGAACTGTGGGCCCCAGGCAGAGAATTACTGTAGCTGTGGGGCCATCACAGAGAGCCACCCTTAGAGGCGTGATCGTCCTCAAGACTCCAGACTGGTAGAGCAAGTAGTGTGTAATTATAGCCCAGGGAGGCTCTAGGCATGTGACACCAATGCATGGGTGCCCTGGCATGGGCTGTGCCCAGCAGAGGCATAATGGTGAGGACACCCAAAGATGTTGGGGGTAGGGATGCTTAGAGCTTTGGAAGTCCAACCCCTGCCTTAGCGTGTCTGGAAGGTAGGACCCCCTGTACCCCAGTGGGCCTGCAAGGCAGTGTGGAACCAAATATTTTTCTTGAGCCTACCACACTATGTTGTGCCAGGTGCTGAGAATCACCCACCCTTTTCTTAGGGCAGTGTGCTGACATCCCAGAAGATGGGCACAAGCTCCACTAAAGGAGAGGTTTCAGAGTTCGTGCACTTTTACCAATGCTACATGGCCCAACCAGCTGCTGAGTTCCATGTGCTGGTGTGGTGAGGAAGTCTGGGGCAGGGAGCACACAGGGAATCATCAGTGAGAGCACTCACATTGGTTGTTGGGATTCATGAATGGCCTGGATAGTGGGGTCTGCAGACTGGTCATTAAGATCTGTGTATTGGTGGCTGTGAGTCCTGCAACTTCTCTTACTTCTCATCTGCCCCGTGATGATGTGCAGATCCACGCAGCATTCTGGGTGAGTTGAGACAGAAATGGGCCTCTCACACAGTGTCCCCAAAGCAAGGGGAGCATCGCAGCCTGAGGGCATCTGTCTCCGTGCTGAGCTCTGCCACCTTGCAGTGACAGCTGACAGGTTGGCGTGGAACTCATCTTACCCTTTTCCATATGGCTGTTGTCGGATTTTGTACAACTGTGGCATGCTACAATCTCTCACTGAGACTCCAGAACTCTCAGAAAGGTATCTTCACCAATGGCTGGTGGTTCAATCAGCGTTTCTGTGGAAATACAATATCTGGGACCTCCTATTCTGCTGTCGTTTATAACAATCCCCTGTAGTTCAGATATTCCTAGGCCAAAATTGAGAGCCTAAATGTAAGTGGAAACACGCAACACACCTACACTCTCTCTGTCTCGTGGAAGTTTGTCAACATATTGTCTTAACTAAACTAAGTGTGGCATATCCAACAATCAGAAAGACTTAGGGTGTTAAGGCCTGGTGTACATTAAATATCAGAAGTGTGTTTGGGTTAAAATGGTTTAAATATGCCAAGAGACAGAAGATGTTATTACTGTACACGAATAATTAAAAGATATTTATAGGGAGATACTCATGAATAAGGAGATTATTCTGGAGTCAGTAAAAGAGAACATGATAAAAAGTGAACAGAACACATCAGTGGGTCCAGCAGTTTTCTGGAACCCACCACCAGGTTCCTTTCCCTCTGGACTACAGTCTGCTCATTTCTCTTTGATGGTGGCTGTGATACAGCCAAAGCCTTTTTCCCTTTTAAGGTTGTGAAATCTTACTGGTATATCTTTAAAGGTTTTGTCTTTCTTTGGTAATCCTCCTCCCCCCAAAACTATGATTCCATCTCGTTAGGATATAGTCTCTCAGGTTTTTCCCTTAGTTATATGAGACATAATGATGGTTCTAGGATAAATCAGGAAAACAAGCAGTTTGGGTCATCATTGGCACACCAATTCCAAATTCTAGATAATGGATGTGGGCTCCTTTAAATGGAATAAGCCAGATTTAATGGTCTCTTCTGAATTCTTAGACCCAGAAACACTCCAGGAATTTAGTCTAGTTGAGGAACAAATATTGTGCACCCAATTTTGTGGAGTCCAAGTATGGATAAGTAATACAGGGTTATATTGACTTGGTGAAGAGGCTCAGCTAATCGTATCAACCTCCAAAAGGCACATTTTTGGTAAAAGAAATGCAACTCAGGTGTGGTGCTTATTCAGTTTATTCCCAGATAGTGGAGAGGAAGGAAGGAGGAAGAAATGGAAAGGAAAACCATCATGAACTTCCACTGTCTGCGCACTCAGTTCGAGACCCGCAGTACATTGACAACGTTTTAAGGTTAACGTGGGCCTAACAGGAGTCAAGACTCTACCAAATTATTGTGGAAAATGTCCATGCTCTGAGAATTAAGAGCAAAACCAAAAAGACTTAATAAATACTGCATTATAAAAGAAAGAAGATGAGTCCGCACTACCAAACCACATCTCTTTAATCATCAAAATTCTCTACATGAGTGAAAACTAAGACTCTTTCTGAGAGTCTACTTGGAGGCAGGTGGTTGAGTTGCGACACTCCAGACAGGAGCGTGAATCCTCATGGCACTGGAGAGAAAGCAAACTTACAGTCAGGAGTCAAACAGCAGAAAGTCTGTTTAGAGAGGGAGATTGACAGCATGCTCTTGCAAGAGGCCACTACATTTTTACAGTAAAATGGTCCTGTGGAGGGGAGTTATTTGTCTCATGGAGTAAAAGCTTGAGAATCTCTGAATGATCACAGTGTTTCTTCGTCGGAGGGAAATAAAGGAATCTCCTTGTTCGTTGAGGCTTTACTTTTCAGATTACATAATATACATTTCTGTTGATCTTCAAGCTTCCATTCTCTTTCCTTTCTTGTCTTCATCTCCTTCCAATTATCTGCCATACAGTGAAAATCATTATGTCTTATCCCAAATGATTTCCTCCTGCTCTGTTCCAATTTTCTCCCTTTTCCCAACCTACAGCTCTCCTCACCCCTGATGTTTTTTGTATTTCCCTATATTTTGCATTTCCTTTGTACCGTGTGTCTATTTAACTATGTTTTGTATAACTATATGTTCATTTGCAACTTTTTTGTTAATCTTTTTGGTCTTTTGGTGACAAATTTTAAAAAAACACTTTTGTTACATAAATGAGCTTTTATTTATTTATTTATTTATTTATTTATTTATTTATTTTTTGAGCTTTTCACTTTTCAAGAGATTGTTCGGATCTGAAGATGAGTCACAAAGAAGTAGTGTCTGGAGATTTGAAATCCATATTTATTTATTTTTATTGACAAGGGGTAATAGGAATTGGTAATGAAGCAGAGAGTGTTTAATATGTATATTCCAATGATTTTAGAGGCAAAGAACTTTCCTTTTGATGCTTTTCCTAATTTCATTTCAATTTAGGCTTAAGGGGTTCTTGATAATCTGAGTAGATAACTGGCGTTGGAACTGGTATAAGAATCCACCACGCTCTACAGCACACCCATCTTCTTTTGCAGGCACCAATCTGATCCTCTGTCATTTTGCAGATGTCTCTTCTGCAAACGCCAGACAGATTTAAACAATGACTTTCCCCAGAAGCCAAACCACTTCTTACTGCAGAAGAAGAGAGGCAGTGAAAGAATTAGTTTATGAGGGAGTGTAGGACACTAAACACTGTTAAGTGTGAAAACCGGAGTTCTCTATGAGGATTTCCATGTGAAGAAGAGAAGCCAGACAAAGGATCTATTCAATCGTTCCATCACCTTCACTGCCTTTTTTACCCAACAGCCCAACTGTTAACAAACTCTTCCCTCCTTTTCTTATAAGTTCCTGGCATTGCTAATTTATGCTTCAAAAAGAACTTTGGTAAATGTCAAAATGGAACAACAATGGGATAGACAAAATACATGTCAACATAAAATTGTGAAAAGGCCATCATTACGCAAGAGTGTTTGTGTGGGATCAAAGAATTGCAATTTGGGGTACAGAGATTTGGGTAGCAATGCAGATAGCATCCTACTAGGGAGCAAAAATCAGAGGTTTTTGAAGCATAAAGGGAATGCGCTGTAACATTTTTCACGAAGAATTTTTGATTGATGTTGGTGGCAGAAAGCTAATTTTGACTGAATCTGATTGGTTGCTAAGGATCTCACTAAGCAAAATCTCTTATTGTTGCAGGTGTTCAGACTGAGTCCTTGGAATATTTGCAATTTGGCCCAGTTCAAAAGTTCATGGTTGAGGACGTGCATAAGGCCCATGTCCTAAATCACCTCCCGGCTCCATTTTAAAACCCCTTGACATAAATGACCCCATTTCATTTTCCTTTCATATTTATGTTCTAAGGACACCGAATTCTTCATTGTTTTACTCCTTTATATCGATCTTCAACACATATTTGCTGAGCACCTTCTATTCAGCAGACATTTTTCTTTAACAATAGAACAGTGAAAATGGAAGAAATGTTTTTTATTCTCACAGGATTTATCTTCAGGGAATACAATCTGAACCATACAAAAATAAGTGGCTAACTTCAGAAAGTGGTTTTCAGAACAATAATAATACAATAATTGACCAGATATAGTCTGGAAGATGTGGGTAATAGAAAGGATGGAGAGAGGCCTCCTAAGGATGAAGCAACTTCTAAGGATAAACTGAGGTCTGAATGACGGTCATGGAAGAGATAAGCAAATATTCACATGAGGGTATTAGAGGCATAGAAAACAGCAAGAGCAAGGTCTCTCTTTTTTTTTTTTTTTAAATATTTTTTATTTAATTATTTTTATTTATTTATGACAATCACACAGATAGAGAGAGAGAGGCAGAGACACAGGCAGAGGGAGAAGCAGGCTCCATGCACCGGGAGCCTGACGTGGGATTCGATCCCGGGTCTCCAGGATCGCGCCCTGGGCCAAAGGCAGGCGCTAAACCGCTGCGCCACCCAGGGATCCCAAGAGAGCAAGGTCTCTTGCTTAGTGTATTGGAATAACAGAAAGACCTGTTTAGGCTGAGAATTATGGAAAACAGTAAGTTTGGTAAGAAATGAGATGAGGTAAGATGGAGTGAAGATCATGTGTCGCTCACAGACCATAGTGGGCTTGCAGTTTCCTCTACCTAAAGCTGCAGTCCTCTTACTTCAGCTCCCTTAAGAATCTAAATGCTCATTCTTCTTTTACAATGTTGTTTTTTACCTTTCTCACCCCCTTCTTTCTTCCTGTCTGTTTAGGATGAAATCTCAGGAAAATAGATCATGTGGATACTAGCTGTGGGACTAGTCTATTCTATAGACACATAAATAATCCATTTCTTTATGTTTCAATCAGCTCAGAATAAAAAAGTCATTCTTTTTCTCTCTGAATCTAGTTATGATCAACCTAACTCAATGTACCTTAGTCACTGAGTGTATCAGAAGAAAAAATAAATTTGTGGACATTCTAAACAATCCTTTCAGTTGTATCTAGAAAGCCAAAAATTTAAAAAATAAAAAGCTGAAAATTTGTCATCATATACAGACCATTATTTTCTCCAGATGATTTACATTATGACCAAGTTAATTTAATAGGAAAGTCTCTAATGGCAGAACTAATGACCTGGCATTACAATCCTCAAAATAAAATGACTGCCCAGTAGAAAAAACTAAGAAAGAGTAAGGAGGAGGAGAGTTAATAGTTTCAATTGGTCTCACCTCTGTATTGAGAGATGGGATAGTGTCAAAGGATTTCTCACCTATGAGGTAACTGAAGGTCCACTCAATAATGGACAGATCCTATCAACTGAGAATTTTTTAGTCATCACCTTACTTTTATTTATATTTGCTTATAAGGCCATTCCTAGCTAAGAATGGTAAGACAATATTTTTAGATTAAAATTTGGTGATAATGTTCCTCTTGGCTGTAGGAGAATGACATATGCAATGTATTCAGTTGATCAAGTAATTTAAATATGTATTCATAAGGAGATAACTGAAAAGAAAATCAACATTGATTTCTGATAAATGTTATTTTAAAAATAGGAAGAGAAGAATATTACCTTATACTAAAACGCATCTGAACACAAAATGCATTTCATAGTGAAACACTAGCTTTAATCCTATTAAAATGAGAAAGGAGGGACACCTGGGTGGCTCGGCAGTTGAGTGTCTGCCTTTGGATTCCCAGGATCGAGTCCCACGTTGGGCTCCTTGCATGGAGCCTGCTTCTCCTCCCTCTGCCTGTGTCTCTGCCTCTCTTTCTGTGTCTCTCATGAATAAATAAAATCTTTAAAAATAAATAAATAAATAAATAAAATGAGAAAGGAAAGAAGAATGTCCACTGTTGATACTTTATTAATATAGTTCTGAAAATTTTGGACAATGCTGTGAATCATAAGAAGAAAAGTCAGTGATGACTTGAACCTACTGCTTTTCCTCTCCTATTCGTCCTCAACTGCCATTCAAATTATGTAGGTTAAAAAAAAAATGTAGGTAGCATTGTCAAAAAGAATCTGTCGGAGTGCCCAAAACCATAGGGTACCATCAGTACATTAGAAACAGAAATTCCCGTAAGATACAAAACAAATATGATCAGATTGAAAGGATGATTTAGGCTTTTGGCCACAAATGCAAGTTTGGTACTCTCAAGTGACTGCCATTATAGAACAAATGGATCATAGAGAACAGCTCTGAAATATTGCTATTCTTGAAAGTGGGAGGGCAGTTTTCTAAAATACTCACTCCTTCAAGGACAGGTCTGTGAACTGAAGCTTGGGCAGTGGGCCTTCTGCACTGGGCGGCCAGCTGGGTAGGGGACTGAAGTAAACGTGGCGGAGAGTTCACAGTGGTAGCTTTGGATGGTAACAGAGACGTATTCTCAATTTAGACCCATAAGATACAGGTTGACTAAGGATAAGCCATAGCATCACGATCAGAACGATAAGGTACCATGAGCAAAAGTTAATGAAATAACATATCTGGACCCTCAAAGACTATATTGGCATTGCCAATGTGACAAATATTTAAACATATATGTATCAAATTATTCAAGGAAATAAAACATATTATCATTAAGTTGTACAAACAACAATAAAACAATATAGATAATAGAATAAGTGGGCAGTTTTGAAAAATAGAAACTTCTAGACATGACAAAAAGTTCTTGAAAAAAATGGACGGTATTAATGATGAATTATTAGACAAGAGAATTAGTGAATGAGGAGATATATCTAAGTTATTTACTCAGAACTTAGCACTGAGACGCAGCATCTCACATTTCTTTAATTCACATCCCTGGACAGGAAAGGAATGAGAGGAGGTAGTGCTTAAAGAGATTCTCCAGAAATGATGGAAAAATACACATGCACAGATTCAAGATAAAAGATGATAGTAAAGAAATTCACATTAAGTTATAAAACAAAATAAAGGCTAGATCACAAAAACACTGGAAAAAAGATAAAAAAACTTAAAACGAAATATTAATTAAAAAGTAGTAATAACAAATTTAGAAATAAAAATTGAAAAAAGAAATAATTATAAATAACAGCAACATGAAAGTCAGAAAAGAATGGCCTGTGAGAGAAAATTATCGCTGGTGTAGAATTGTGTACTTAGTAACACTTTCTTTCCAGAATAAGGATAACATTTACAAATTGACAGATAAAGACTGACATGATTTACCACCAAGATATCTAAAGCAAGGGAAATTCTAAAAGACATGCACCATGAAGGAAGAATTTAACACAGAAAGAAGGCGGCCTCAGAGTGAGAGTGGAATTCTAATAAATCCCACGGAACGGATGATAGTGATAGTAATACTCTCCAACAGATGAGGTTAGAGAAAGAACAGAAGTGAACTTCTACTGCTATTTAGGATGTAAAATTACAAAAGAAATTGCTCTTTTTCTGATGAAGAGATCAAGCTGGATTGTTCACTTAGAAGCCCAGCACAGAGCTGAGCTCCCAGAGAAAACCTAATTAACTAAAATCCAAAGTGACAGGGCCCTACGGAAGGGAAGAGGGAGTGACATCACCATGGTGGTGATGTGGGAGGCCCAGCTTCTGCGCCCCCCCCCCCAACTCATGAAGATCGACAATAAGACAGCTCTCCAGGAGCAAAAGCCATCCTGGAAGAGCTCCGCTGTCCACGTAAGAAGCATCAGTGCAACACGATGCAACAAAAAGCCTGAAATAATTGCACAGGAAGGGATAGAAGAGCTTCAGCGTGCCTGTGCCACCCCATCCTCCAGGCCAGCACTGCTCTGCGCTCACAGGGAGGTTCCCATCTAGAAAGAGCCCCCCAATAAGGGAAGGGGGAGAGGGTTAGCCAGCAGCCTCCCCGGCCTTCGGGGCATCACCTGAAGGACCTGTTTTGGTTTCATCCCTCCAAGACTGGCAAAGCAGTGATGCGTGGAGGTGACTAGGGACAGAGGAGAAAAGCAGAGGCTACTGCAACAGCCACATGCAGCTGGCAACTGCCCTCCCCAGTGACCTGCTCTGCCACGACCCCAGCAATTTTTGCTGTAGAAAAATACCAGCGGCCAGTGCAGCGGCCACAGACCCCTGCAGATGTCTCTTTCCTGATGCCAGCTACCTGAGTCCCTTCCTACTCCTTCCCCTGCCCTGCCCCCTGCCAGAGCTGGGGACCTAGACGGCATCCAGTCCAGGCTTCTGCAGCTTCTCTGGTTCAAGACATCCGTGGAAAATAAATAAATAAATAAATAAATAAATAAATAAATAAATAAATAAATAAATAAAATTAAAAAAAAGACATCCGTGGAGACCCTCCACAACTGACCCCCCATGCCATGCCTGCACACTGGGGCTAAGCACTTGCACACCTCTGATCTGATGCCTGTTTTAGCCTCCATCGCTGTGCCTGCTGCTGGAAGCGCTCACCAACACCCACAGCTGCTCATGGAGCTGGACGTGCATAAATGAAGAGGAGGGAACACTCCCAAACTATTTGACAAGGCCAGCATTGCCCTGATAACAAAGATAAGGACACTACAGGAAGATGAAACTATAGGCCGATACTCTGGATGCAGATACAAAAATTCTTAACCGAATACTTGCAAACTGAGTTTAACAGTATGTTAATAGGATCCTATACCATGATGAAGAATGACTTTCCCTGGGATGCAAGGATGGTTCAGCATATGCAAATCAATAAATGTGATATACAGCATGAAAGATAAAAATCATCTGATTGTCTCAATAAATCAAGAAAAAGCATTTGACAAAATTCAATGTCGTTTCCTGTAAGACACTCAATAATCTGGGTATAGAAGGAACATACCTGAACGTAATAAAGGCCAAATATGACAAACCCATGGCTAACAACATATTCAGTGGCAGAATTTAAAGTCTTTCCCTGGGGATCCCTGGGTGGCTCAGTGGTTTAGCACCTGCCTTTAGCCCAGGGCATGATCCTGGAGTCCCCGGATCAAGTCCTGTGTTGGGCTCCCAGCGTGGAGCCTGCTTCTCCCTCCTCCTCCATCTCTGCCTCTCTCTCAAATAAATAAATCTTTTTTAAAAAATAAATAAATAAAGTTTTCCCCTCTAGATCAGAAAAAAAGCAAGCATTTCCATTGTCACTACTTTTATTCATCACAGTATGGAAGTCCCAGCTAGAGCAACCAGGCAAGAAAAAAAAAAAAAATCAAAGGTGTCCAAACTGAAAATGAAGAGGTAAAATTGTCTCTGTTTGCAGATGACATTATATATATATACATATGTGATATGTAATTAACTCAAAATAGATTAAAGACTTTAGTGTAAGACCCAAAGCTGTAAAAGTCCTAGAAGAAAACAGAAAAAACTCGCCTTGACATACGGTTTTTCCCTTTCACAATACGCCACGGCTGGAGCTCTATGGAGCCTCTCTGGGTTCTTCTGACCTTAGGAGAGGGGTCTCCCAGGGGCTCCCGTCCACGTCCAGCCTCAGCTGGCGGCTGCTCCACACTCACTGAAAGCCACAGTGTCTACAGAGTGTCCCTCGGCTCCTTGACCCTTTTGTGCATCAGATTCCATTAGTGGCCTCTCTACTTATGCACCCATGACTGGAGGAAGAGTGGACTTTCTCAGCTTCTTCCCACCCTTTGCTGCTTTATGACTGAGTATATGGCCATTTTTAGAAATGCTTTGGCTGTGCTTAAAATTTTGTATTCTGTAGTTGTATGCAGTGCATTAAGATTCTTTGTGAGAGACCTGAGACAAGATCAGTTCCACCTCTTTGGTTTGCAGATGACCATCTCCTTATTGTGTCTTCACACTGTGTTCCCTCGTATGTGTCTGTGTCCAAATTTCCTCCTCTTATAAGGACACCAGCTATATTGAGTTAGGTCCCACACTAATGACTTCATTTAACTTAATCACCACCGTGAAACCCCAGTCTCCAAATATGGTCACATTCTGAGGTCCAAGGCTTGGGATTGTAGGGACACTGGTTAGCCTACAACACCCTCCTTTTCCTTCTAACCTTTCTGAATGGTTTCATTTTGTGTGGCTTGGTTGTTTTTTCGTCTTGGTTTTGGTTTTGGTTTTGGTTTTTGTGGGTTTCTTGGTACCATATAGTTGAGTTTAGTTGTCTGAGTTTTAAAATAAGTGCTGATCATCTTTGACTTGAAGTAGAAAATTAATCTATTTGCATGTTAATGTCTTCACTAATGTATTTGAGTTTAATTTTACCATCGTACTTTGTTTTCTGTTTCCCTATTCCTTTTCTCTCTCTCAATTCCTCTTTTCTATTGGATTATTTTAATCATTTCATTTTTTTCGATTAGTTAGGAAATTAAACCTTTGTTCCCATTCTTGTCGTAGTTCTCATAGAATTAAAACATATGTTCTTAATATAGCAAACCTAAAATTAATCAAAATATTTACTCTTATATAATATAATGACTTTACATTTTTGTCATCATCATTTCACTCCTCCCAATTATTTACTTTTATTGTTAAGTATTTTAATTCTACATCTATTTTTAATCCCTACCACTTTCTTTTTTTCTACCTGGGTTTATTAATCAAATACGCTCATGCTATATTTATATTACAATATTTATCAACAAAAGAAATAAGATGGTGGTTAGCTGCTTAATGTCTAGTCCAATTATTTTTTTAACTTTAAGTTCAATTCACCAACATATAGTACATTATTAGTTTCAGATGTAGTGTTCAATCACATATCAGTTGTGTATAATACCCAGTGTTCATCACATCACATGCCCTCCTTAATGCCCATCACCCATTTACCTTATTCCCCCACCTATCTCTCCTCTAGCAACTCTCAGTTGCCCAGAGTTAAGAGTCTCTTATGGTTTGTCTCCCTCTCTCATTTCTTTTTCCATTTCATTTCTTTTTCTCTTTCCTCATCTCATTTCTCATTCCACTTTCAAATACTTGATGGGTTTCTAAATTGGTTCATCCAAATGTGAGAAGATTGTATTTTCACCTAGTAAAGCTGAAGATTCATATTGTAAGACTCCATTCTATCCCTAAGTTGGAAACCAAGACATACATGACAGGAGTTTTATAGTAAGATTTTTTTATAATAGCAGCAACCAGAAAAACATGAAATTTTCATTATCATTATGATAGTTAAGTGTGTCATTATTGTTGTATCAACTGCAAAGAAGAATAGCCAAATGCTTTTCATTTCCAGTTCCTCTACCTCATTCATTTTCTTGTCTTATTGATTTGTCATTCTACATTATTTATTCAGAACATCTTAATATATAGACAAGCCATGACTTATTTAAATGTGCTTTGATTGATGGAAATCAGTTAGGTAATCTCCAATCTTTTGTTTTTACAGATAAAGCTGTGATGATTCAACATACATGTGTTGCTTGGCATATACATAAAGTTTATCTATAGGATATAGTTCCATTGGAATGGATTGCTGGGTCTAGGAATTTAAAACTTTTGTTGCCTATTCATCTTTCATGATCTAAAAAAACATTTGTTTGGATTCCAGTACTGTTAACTATTCATTACTCCTGCTTTTGAATGAGATGAGTTTTTCTTGGACCAAAAGCTTTGTGTAGGGTATGTGCCAGGAGTTGCCTGTAATAACCACTATCTTGTATTAATTATGTTAACTCTTACTTTTATTCAAACCGTGGAGTTAAGTAGATATATGGCTATTCACAATATAATGTCTCTTTTCCCCTTCCAGATTCACCTATAGATTATGTGTTGCATATGTAAGTTGTTTTACACCATTCTTGGTTAAGCTTGAATTATCTGTTTGTAAGTCCACTACTGACCCCTGGGATCCTCCCACTAATCACCCATGAATTCTGTTCTTGTTTTGCAAAGGAATATTTTCAAGTTTGTTCTTAGGGTGTGCCCCTTACCTTTTAGAAGTTTCTTTGCTGGAACCTCCTAACATGTGGTGTCATGCGCCTCTTTTTTCACATGCCATCTATATTCTAGTTTACTTGAAGATGCTAATTTCAATTCATTTTCTCACTCATGTTGCTTTGGATGATTTCTAAGCAAAAATGGTGGAAATGCTGAAAGTTCTCTCACAGGTTCCTTTCATTAGAATGTATGTCTTATAGTCTCTCTGGCACCAGCAAAAGGTCATATATTTATTCTTAGAAGAACGTGCTATCCTCAGTTTCCAGGCTATCTTCAATTTCTTCTTTAGTTTTATAGATACTCTCTCTAAAGGACTGGAGAATCACAAGATGGGTCACAACTCTTGTTGGCTTCATGTGAAATAATATAAATACATAGAAAAACTATCCACACTCTCTTTCTGCTATGAATTATTTTTTGGGCTTGTATGTTTGACCAGACACTACATAGTTCATTACTGATTGAGCTAGTGTGAACATTTTCTCCTAAATAACAGTTTATTTTCTTACTGATAAACTAAACACTCAAAATAATGGTCTTTGGGTTGCCACAAGGACTCCAGAACTGGCACACTGTCACAGGTAGGGGACTAATGGCTGTGGGCAGTGAAAATGGTAGAAGCAGTCCAGCTTCCACATAATTCTATTTCCATGAAAACTTATGACCTCTCCATTTCCTTCATCCCCCAGCTCTTGGTGACCACCATTCTACTCAATGCTCCTATAAGTTTAACTGTTTAGATTATAAACAGTTATACTCATATAGATTATAAGAGCTCATATAAATGAGCTCATGCAGCATTCCTCTGTGTGTGACATGTCATTTGGCATCATGTCCTCAGATTCCTCCATGTTATTGCAAATATATACATAAATCAAATATATACATAAATCATATCTTCATGTTGTACACCTTAAATATACACAACTTTGATTTGTATACCTCAATAAAGCTGGGGGAAAACTTGTAAAATAACCCTATGACCTTATTTTAGTTCCAACTTTACCAGATCTTTGTGTAACATGTGATTTCTTGAATCTTGCTACTGTTAGTTAATTTGGTTTGATGCTCATCAGCTCGATGTTTTTCTTAATTCACTGACAGACTCCTAGCAACTTTTCTGCATTTGCTCCGTATGTGTGGTGTTTTTCCTGATTCTATCAATGGTATTCTCTTCCTTTTCCTTCTCCAATTCCCTCTTATCCTTTCACCTCCTTACTTTCATTTTCTCATCTTCTCTATTCTGTCTTCTCTTTTCATACTACTGGCTTCCCCTAAGTTTTTCCAGGTACTCTTTAAAATTTAGACACTTATTACTGAGCAATGATATGACTCCTGCAGCCAGTTTTCATCTGAATACCAGGTCCATATTTTCAAAGTTACACATTTCCACCTGAAAGATGCATAGGTTCCTAAAACTCAAGATTTTGAAACTGGCCCTCATTTTGTCTTTGTCTGAAATCTCAAAAATGAAGAAACATAAAAAAACAAACATTCTCCTTAG